CAGTGAAGTTCTAATATTCTGAGACGAAGGAAACCTGTTTGTAAAGCGGGAAAGAGATGGAGCTCAAGTTCAAAATAAGTTTCTTGTATGTAATCGAACTCTGGCTGACGATGTTGTCATTCACTGCACAGTAGTTTCTGTTGCTGCACTGCAACTGCTTGTCACCAGGGTTACTTTCTCCAACTTATGAAACATCTAATGATGCTCATGTGACTAGCTGGCACACATATTCTTCCAGTAATTCCATAATTGCTCTCTGTCAATTTCCAGGGTTGGTATGAGCAGGGCATTATAAGGGAAAATGAAGAAGCATTACTTTCCTAACGACACTGATGAGTCAGTATCTTCATCTTCTTCTCTGTGGCCCTCTGCCTGGCTGCTTCAGTCATCAGCGGTACAGCGTTCTGGCAGAATCAGTAGTACACGATAACCCAACTCTTCCTGTCCATACCACAGCCCTGTAAGAGTATTACATATTGTCTCAAAATCCTGAAATAATTCATCAGTAAACATTACAAACATGGTATAGGTGCTACATTGTGGGGTTACGTTTAATTCATTTAATGCAGACACTGGCTAAACTTAATTTCTTCGTCGTATAAAGCAACAGAAAAAAGCCATCACATCATGTACTAAAACAGACATTCATTCATTTATTTACATTCCATGAATGTTTGAGTATACCAAGGACCCTGAGAGTTATACCAGCGGTAGCATAGCTACTGGCAGGGCCTCCCTTGCTGGACAGGTCAAAGGGTAGGCATCAGACGAAGAGAGACACCAAAAACCAAAAATTGATGCCGGAAGCAGCGTCTTCAGCAGCGACTTGAAGCACAGAGCAAATGATGCTCGAGATGGTTCAAGTTCGTATAGCAACAGGCGTGACCAGAGTGGTTTGAACGGCTGTTGTACTGCGATGTGGAAAGCAAATGGAAGAACTACCACATTATCACTTTTCCTGGATAGTCTCTTTCAAAAAACAGAGATACCATGTATGCGAGATGTTTCCTCTGGAGACAAAACAAACCGGAGGGGCGGATATAAGTGACCAGAAGACGAGGAAGAAGACGTAAGAAGATGCAGGATGACCTTGGGGACAGAAGAGGATATTCTTATTTGAAGGAATCGCATTAAGTGGAGGAACTGTTTTGGAACAGACTGTGTACCTGTTGTCTGACAGATTACTGATGAATGAATGAATGAATCCTTACATGGCTGGAAAAACAGTGGATATAGTAATAGTCAAAAATAACAGGACAAGTCGCATAAATTATATAAGTAAAAATTAATTATATTTAATCCATAATAATTACACATATTATCAAAGACAAATCACAATGAGTAAATCATTAACACAGTTATAAAATATATATGTAAGAGAATGCAGCACACTAATGACACAAGACTACTATAATGATACATAAAAATATATTACTAGGCATCCAGCGTATAACAGACCGAGATCATTAGTTAATATTGGAGTTAAATATTCCTCCAATGAGTAAAATGAATTTATAACCCTTTGGTAACTGTCTCTGAGATAGGATTTTATGAATGCATTGGCTTTACCAACTATTCCATAAAATTCTACTTTAGGCAGGCAGACAGACAGATAAGACAGATACTGACAGAGTCAAAAGCTTTCTTGAAATCACAGAAAATGCCACCCACTAATATTGTGTTATTCAGTACGTTTAATATATCATTAATTAATTTATGTGAGGCCACTTTTGTAGATGAATTACTCCTAAAACCATATTGTTCATTTGCTATTATGTTGTTTTTTTTTATTGCTAGTGGGGTGGGACGTAAGTCCCTTGTACTGCAGCCAGTTCTGGCCGCAGTACTAGCCCCAGATGATAGGTGAGGGTGATTGTGGAGCAATTGGTGGAATGAAGATTGGCAGGGGAAACCCAAGTACTCGGTTCGATTCCCGGCGCCACCAGATTTTCTGAGAAGTAGTGGGTCTGGAGCGGGGTCCATTCAGCCTCGTGAGGATAACTGAGGAGCTATTTCAAGGAAATAGCGGCTTCGGTCTAGACAACCGAGATTAACGGCCTTTGGAATTCATTGCGCTGACCATGCGACACTCTGTATCCGCAAAAGTTGGCAGTAAATTCACCGATAAGCGGCGGTCGCTCGGTAGGTATAGTTCGCTTGCGGACTACAGGCCACGGACTTTGCCAGGGTGATCATTCATATTGAAGCATTTTAAGGAAAGCAAGCACCTTCACTGCCGGTTAGGGTAGCCGAGCAGTCTAAAGGTCGCTCGCTCGGAAAGTCGAGATCGTGGGGTCGAATCCCACTCAGGACATAAATGTTTGGTGTTTGTGTGTGTGTGTGTGTGTTCGCGCGCGCGTTTTTCTGTGTTTATGTACAGATAGAGGCCTTGCGACGAGCTGATCACCAACCCAAAGAGTCCCACAGAATGTCTAAGATCTAATAAATTGAAGTGAAAACGGAGAATTTCATGGAGGTAGGCGAAAACCCAAATTGGGGCTGAAGCGCCAAAGGAAATAAAAACACATTCAGTAAATAAATTGGTTACGTTGTCCCTGTGTTTAAATAATTAATCATAGCGAAACCAACGGAGGTAAAACTCCACATTCTTCACCTCGGCAAATATGGAGTGGAACTGTAGACTCAGCGGCCCGCCGTCTTTAAGATCAGGGTGCAGAACCCGGTAACATTTGGATAGAAGGATGGATGGGCCCCAGAGCCATTCTGGACACTGTGAGGAAGAACAAATTTCTTACCTCTACCTAGAATCGAACCCGACTCCTTGTTCATCAAGCTCGTAGCCTCATTAATATACCGACTGAGCTATCCTGGCTCCTGTAAGCGTCTTCAGTTCCATCCATTATAAGCTTTTCCTCTGACATTTAATTACCGCCATCTGTGAGCCGATTGTCTAGAAAATGTGGGAGCCTCGACGTCTCACAACTCTATGGGCCTCCATGGCCTGTTACAGGGATAGCTTTACTTTTTTTTTTTACTTGTTTTATATTTTGCTTTGTCTGCAGTTTTTGGTTATGAACTGATGGCCGCACTGACGCGCGTAATTACAGAGTAATTTGAGGAAAATTGAGCCGTCGGCTGCAAAATTAAAATACTTGACAATGATGGAATATATTACATAAACGATCACACTTGTGTGGCTAATGACGGGTTAATGCTCCCAGCTAAAGGCTCAATCGATTTGATTTGTTGTGTGAGAGTGACGCTGTCATCCTATTGGGCTGCAGCTGCGATGTAAAGCGACATCACCTTATGGAAGGAAAATCTGTGCCAAGCTTTCGGAATTTAGGATTTGCACTTGCATTTACAACATAAACTTTATGCTGTTTAGAGGAAGCTCCATCGCATGAGAAAAAATGTCAAATATCAAATAAATTAATTCCACAATAACATCTAGCCAAGCATCAAATCAACTACATTGAATACTTCGTCAAGTATCTAACTACGAAAATTACCCAATAGAATTAATCTAGCCAATTAACCAACCAACTACTAAACTACCTTGTCAAGAACACAACTAAGGAAATTATTTAATCTACTAAATTTAATCATGTAGCCGGTCACGGTAGCCAAGCGGTCTAAGGCATGCACTGTCTTCGCTCGCTCGGAAGCCGAGAACGTGGGTTCGAATCCCACTCAGGGCATGGATGTTTGTGAGCGTTTTTCTGTGTTTATGTACAGGTAGAGACCTTGCGACGAGCTGATCACTCGCCCAAGGAGTCCTACCGTATGTGTAAGAACTAGTAAACCGAAGTGAACGGAGAGTTTCACGGAGGTAGGCCTAGGCCCAAATGAGGGCTGTAGCGCCAAGGGGGGGGGGATTTAATCATGTAGGATTTAGGTTAACCCAGGAGTAGTCAGGAAAATTGCTATCTTCTGGAATATAATTCCGTGTAATCCGTTGAGATTCAACAGACTTTTTGGAAGAACTTGCTGTCACCATTTTCAGGATCGAAGAATACAAGAAAGAAACCAATGTGAAAACGGGTGGCAAGCAGAGACTTTCAACGGACTACACGGAGTCATATCCCAGAAGATAGTATACTCTAAATTTAATTAATTATCCAACGTAATCAACTAACAGATTAACTAAACTACAGTAGCTACTGAAATAACAAACTATGTAATAAAACAACTAAAGAAATCGTGAAAAAGTACACGTTATACTGTGGCGTATTGGCTCTATGCAGGAACTGTTGAGCCACAGAGGCCTCGTCCAGGGTTTGTTCGTGAAAACAACACAGCAAGCCACGAACAAACCCTGGACGACATCAAGAACCTCCTCATCAAGATAGACAGGCGGCACAGAATCTACCGCATACAAGAAGAATGATAGGAGCACGGACAGGAGCCTATGTGGTTTAAAAATGTTAACTATTGACAATAAAGATTTTTAAATAACATCTAGAAACTTTTAAAAACTTTACAATACCAGGAAGCTGCTGTGATTGTGAAATGTTAGACTTTAAGCGTACTGTGCATTATAGGATATAAGTGTATGTATTTTAAATCAAAACACCTCTTGTGATGGTAGTTTCCAGTTTGTAATGATGTTCCCTCTGAAGATGGTCCGTAGGGACCGAAACATGTAAGGGAGATAAGTTTTCATGTAGTAAAAACTTACGGTATATGTCACATTGGACGGAGTGATTTGTACTTATTATTATACGGCGTACATTGCTCCAGAAGTTGTAAACGAGGAGTTTCATCATTATACTTCCATTGATAATAGCTGAGAATAAGAAAAGAACTTACATTTTCTTCTCAAAATAATCTCCCCGATAACCATCCTTTATCCTATGACGAACGGTCCTTGAAACACCTGTATGATACGCAGAACTGCTTTCAGAATACCGCTGAACATATCGTTGTACCTTTCATCGCGGACAGATCTCTGATTACAAACAAATGAGTAGAGAAATACTGTCGATCGGTCCAATTCATAAGACATGTAGCTTAAAGGGCTCCGCTTTGTGTTGCAGGCGGACCCGTGGACTTCTCAAGTCGCCCCACATCGTCTTCACAATTGGGTGGCAAGGTGACGCACAGCGAAAGTGAGGAAGATGAGATAGACATCGTTGGTGAGCAACACAGCGCCCAGCCCACGTTGGTGTGAGCAATAGTGACAGCACTGAGAGACTCAGGAGACGGGACTGTGAGCTTCTAGTGACAGGATTGTGAGCTTCTGGCGACAGGACTGAGACACTCAAATAACAGGATTGTGAGATTCCAGTGACAGTGCCGAGAGACTCAGATGAGAGGATTGTGAGCTTCTGGTACCAGGATTGTGAGGCTCAAATAATATGATTGTGACCTTCCGGTGAGTGTCGAGGGATTCAGATGATAGGATTGTGAGCTTCTGGTACCAGGATTGTGAGGCTCAAATAATATGATTGTGACCTTCCGGTGAGTGTCGAGGGATTCAGATGATAGGATTGTGAGCTTCTGGTACCAGGATTGTGAGGCTCAAATAATATGATTGTGACCTTCCGGTGAGTGTCGAGGGATTCAGATGATAGGATTGTGAGCTTCTGGTACCAGGCTTGTGAGGCTCATATAACAGGATTGTGAGCTTCCGGTGACAATGTCGAGAGACTCAGATGAGAGGATTGTGAGCTCCTGGTGACAGGACTGAGACCCTCAAATAACAGGATTGTGAGATTCCAGTGACAGTGTCGAGAGACTCAGATGACAGGAATCTGAGTGTCTGGTGACAGCATAGAGAAAATCTGGCGATAGAATTGTGAGACTCTGGCGACAGTATGAGACATTCAGGTACTAAGACTGTGAGTTACTGGTGACAGAACCGAGATATTCAGACGATAGAATTGTGTCTGGTGACAATGCCGAGTTGTACGGATGACAGAATTGTGTTTTGGCATCAGCAGTAAAAAATTCAAGTAACAGAATTGTAAACCTTTAGCGACAGGACTGACCCCAGAGCCTCATAAAGTAGGAATGCGAGACTGTTGTTTAGTACTAAGAGACTCAGATTTCGGAATTGTGTGACTATGTTGACAACTCGGCATAGCCATGTGAAGGGATTCTGAGGTCCCAGCGACAGAATTGAGATACTGGGTCTCAGGTGATAAGACTTTTGCGCCTCAGATGACAGACCTGTATTTATCGCTTGACAATGGTTACTGATTTAGACACACAATAATGACATGTATTTCGGGCAATCATAAGCGAATTATGAGTCTCGGGTTTAGCTGTGGAGCTCAGAAGACAGTGCTCTAAAATCAAACCCATGTGATTTTCAGGTGGAAACACAATTTTATGGCTCAGAAGAGCGTGTTGTAAGGCGCGGAAACAGAATTGTGAAAGCCGGAAACCGCACTCTGAGACACAATTTGAGGGAGAGCAGCAACCATGTTTAAAGGAAGATGTAAATAACCTTTTGTAGTCAGGGACATGCGAGTTCACTGCCGAATTTCGCGAAACACTTTGAGCAACATTCTGAGGCTGTAAGACCAGTAAAAGCGGTCAAAGTAACATCATTCTGCTTAGGCCGCACCATAGCTCAGGCGGTTAGTCGCTGGCTTCACACCGCGGTGGCCCGGGTTCCAGGCCGGGCCTGGTCAAGTTGACAAAGTGGCGCTGGGGCAGGTTTTCTCCGAGTACTTCGGTTTCCACTGTCAATCTTCATTCCACCAATTGCTCCACAGTCACCATCGTCTATCATCAAGGGCTGGTAAAATAAGTCAGTATTGGCCGCAGTACCAAGTAGACTCAGTCTCACCCAACTAATATTAATAATAATAGTAAGAAGAACAATAAGATGAAGAATATTATTTTGCGATTTAGAGCGAAGTATTCTGAGGCTGTGTCAAAGGAATATGGAACTCAGAATAGAGTATTATCAGTTACATCAGGAAATAATTGCAACGCTGTTATGAGGTTCGCAGAACAAGTGTACGGTGTACGATTGTTCTGGACAACAAAGCAACACGTGTTTGTGAAGCAACAGTGGTAACATGACCTTGAGGTGACGTTACAGTGTTCCGTCTCTTGCGCGGTTTGTTCCTGCTGGTGACCACCACACAATATTGGTCTCTAGTTACATCACGAAATTTAAATTCTATATTAAATTAAATAATTATTGCCTCTTTCTTTCTAATTCACAACACTGACAGTAGTCAACAATTCTTCGATCACATCAGGTTTATGTGCGGTACAGGAGTTCAGAATGTAATCAGAAATACGATAATTCATATTTATTAATCTGTCATGACATAAATCACACTGGTAGTTACCGCTTTGCCGACGCACAGGCTAAAGTTCGATCCCAGAGACAAAGCCACGTGGATTTGTGGTGAAAATATTGGCAATGTAAAGGATTTTCTCCGAATACTTCGGTTTAATCTGGCTATTTTCATTCCATCAGCTGTTTCACATTCGTGAATTATGTTATCAACCGACGCTGCATAACCTCGAAGTCGACAGCGTCGTTAAATAACAAACTTAAAATAATGCCTATGCTGCAAGCCGGAAGGACGCGGGTTCGAGTCCCGATTAAGTCATTGGATTTCTTTTAATTTATCTATTCCTTCCTGCCGCATTATGGCCCTGGGGTTGACTCGGCCTCTAACAGAAATGAGTACCAGGAATCTTCATCGGGGGTAAAGGGCAGCCGGGCGTAAGGCTAATAACTTCACCGCCATCTGTGAGGCAATTGTCTAGAGAAAATGTGGGAGCCTTTACCCCTCAAAACCCTATGGGTCTCCATGGCCTGTTACAGGGATAGTTTTTTAAATAATGCTAAATAGTCCATAGAAAAATGTAAAGGATGTAGGATCACTGGTAAGAGAAATAGGTATGACCTTGAATAATGGATTCCTGACGAAAATATGGAGAGATAGGATTCTAACTTCCACAAAAACGACGTAATGCAAGCATTGACTCTTAAAGTAAATTCCATTTAAAAAGCAAATTGGTTTATAACTGACGTCAAAGCGTTGGTTTTTAAGTAGGTAGTTCGAAGGAAAACCCGCCGGCTGTGGCAGTTCCACGTGAAACTGCAAACCTCTTCATAACGATTCAAAATAAGAGAATAATAAACAGGCTATTATAAATTGCATTTGTTTACAATGATCGGCCTGCAAAATAAATTGAATTTTGTAACGAAAACAGGGCACTCGTTATAACGACTGGCTATGGGCTGGACGACCGAGGGATCGGAGTTCTAGTCCCGGTAGGGTCGAGAATTTTCTATTTTCTGCAGCGTTCAGACATGCTGTCGACCACAACCAGCATCTTAGCCAATTAGTGAAGGGGGCCCTTTCCCCGCGGGTAAAGCGGCCGGGGCATGAAGCTGACCACTAAACTCCAACTAGTGCTGAGATCAAGAAAACGTGGATCTATACATCCACTCCCCCATACACCTTCATGGCGCAGTGCTTAATTAGTTAGGCACAGGGACAACTTTACCTCTTTTGTCTTATGAGATAATTTTTTTTAATTCGCTTAGTGGGGGGTGGAGTCCAACTGGGTCCACTCGGCACGGCGGCCAGTGATTGGCGTATTGTAGCCTGCCCCGGGTAATTATGATAATGGAGAATTTGGTGGAATGAAGATTGGCAGGGGAAACCGAAGTACTCAGAGAAAACCCGCTCCAGCACCACTCTGTCCACCACAAATCCCACTTTACCAGACCCGGGATCGAACCCGGGCCGCTGCGGTGGGAAACCAGCGACTAATCGCTTGAGCTATGGCGCGGCCTTTATGAGACATTGGTTGAAGTTCTTGTGAACACACAGCCTTATAAATGTCATCTAATAGATATGCTATTTATGAATACTGTTTACGTAACTTCTCGGTCGTGAATCCATTCATCTTCCCCTGGTTTTCCCCACTTCCGCAATTCAAAATTCTCTTAATATCAATAATCTAGTCCCATTTCTTAAACGACTTTCGCTTTAAAATTTGTTCTGAATAACAAATAGTTTCATCTTTCCTTCTCCATGTTTTATGACCGCTTTTCACTCTATTTGTTACGTTGAACAAAAGTGTTCTCCGTTCTTTCCACGAGTCCTACTGTTACATTAATTTCCACTTACCATTTCATTCGGCCGCGCCGTAGCTCAAGCAGTTAGACGCTGGCTTCCCACCGCGGCGGCCCGGGTTCCATCCCGGGTCTGGTCAAGTGGGATTTGTGGTGGACAAAGTGGCGCTGGGGCAGGTTTTCTCCGAGTACTTCGGTTTCCCCCGCCAATCTTCATTCCACCAATTGCTCCACAATCACCATCACCTATCATCCGGGGCTGGTACAATTGGCCAGAAGTGGCCGCAGTACAAGGGACTTAGACCCAACCCACTAGCAATAAAAAAGAATAATACCATCTAATTCCTTTTCTTCCTCTGTTCATTTGATTTCATACCTAATTCCACTTGATCAGTTGTAAATATTTCTACTAAAATTTCATGACTACTCACTTCAATTGTATTCCTTGATAAGTGAAAAAAGAACGTTTGCAATATACCGTATTTACGCATGTATAGGCCGCGTGCGTGTATAGGCCGCAGCACAATTTTCAGACAGAAATTATAGAAAAAATAATTTTCTTGGAATATTATTTCAGGAGTAGAACACCCTGTATTACTAATTATGAATATAAATTTTTTTAAATGAAGTGTGATTTCGAATATTTCGAATATAAGCCGCACCCCAGTTTTCCTCTTGAATTTTTGGCAAAAAATGTGCGGCCTATACATGCGTAAATACGGTACACTCTTATTCCATGCGCCATCCTTGGTAAAAAGCAAGTTACTATAAACGTAAAGCTTCTTGCTAGCTTTCTGGAGCTTCGTGGTGTGAATTAGTGGTGGCTTCTGAGGATTTCCTCAGGCAAATCTCTGGATATTAGCGTACTTCAAAGTGGGTACGAATAATTCTACCCACATACACAATTAAAAATCGCATGATCTCAGCACCTGATACAGCGCTGGAAAATAACCAAGCACTGTGTTGACTATCGTTAGTTCTGCTATGATAAATAATGGACAAATCCATGTTTTTTTAAAGCTAGGCATGAGAGTCCTAGATGTAATATTCAAGATGATATAGGCTATAGAAATGTACGCTGAAGCCTCCAGTACTTCTGCATACACATGAAAACTACCTAAAATCCAACGATATTTTAAATGGTAGTAGTTGAAGGTAATGATTGATACGATGTTGTATACAGTAAGTCTCCGGTTTACACGGGTCCTTATTTACACAAATCCGTTTCTGAGGAAAATTTCACCTCCATCTTCACGGTCAAAAACATAAACCAAACAAGAAACCGGCCTGAAGCAGGTAGGAAGTAGGGCTTCGCGTGAACTATTCTTCGG